GCAGAGGATTAGTAAGATGAAGCAGTTGAGATTGGAGAGAGAGAAAATGAAAGAAAAGATGCGTGGAGTCGTCGGGGGGTTTGGATATGAATACCAGAGTGCGCCAGAAATCGCCACGACGACGGCGGCTCCACTCCTCCACTCCACTTGAAACCGGAACACGCATACTGGGACTGGGAGGCGCGCGGAACGGTCACCGCGTCCTCACGTCGCCTCACACCTCGGCCCGGGGGTGAGTGAGGCTAGGACGCCGCCGCAGGGCCGGTTCTGTCGCCGCCGCCGCTCAGGTCGCCCCTCGAAATGTTTCGACTGCTGTCACAATACACGACGGTACAGTACGACGCGTCGGGGGGAAAAGATTTGGGGCCGGAGATAATAATAAATGTGACGTTTGCTGATGAGCGCGCGAGATGCGCGTTTGGTGGCGCGGAGGTAGGCAGGGAGCGGCAGCGAGGCTCACCGGCGGAGGGAGGAGAGGTTGGCGGCGACGAATGGAGACAAGTACGCAAGGGGATCCACGTACATGGAAAGGTAAGAAAAGTTGATTAAAGCGGACACCTTTGGAGGAGGCGGTATTGGGTCCGCTTATCGTCACCCCCGCGCCTTACCCCCTCGTCTTTATCCAAGCGACGCGCGGCTTCAAAAATTCACCCGCCTGCATGAAAAAACAAATGAGCGTTTCAGTAAAAGGGGGGAAAAGAGAGGGGGGTGCGAGGCTGTTGGAGATGTACGCGGGCAAGGTGCGATAGGCGTGGCGGGGCGGGGCGGGGAGGTCCTTTTCGGCGGGGCGCGGCGCGGCGCGGCGGGGTGGGGCCATATGGTTGCGTTCGGACGGAATGTTAACAACTCTTATCTGATCAGCCCCGTCGCGTCGCGTGCGCGGGCCAAGGGGTAGGCCCCGCCGCGCCCCACCCCACCACACCCCGCCCCACCACACCTCACCGCGCCACACCGCGCGCTCAATATGGACCTCTCAGAGATGTAAATGCAGGCCCTGACGCGCTGCTGGCGCGGGGGGAGCCGCCGGGGTGCCCTCTTCCACCACCAGCTGACACCGTCGTAATGTGCGTTGCGTACGTGGTGGCACTGGTATATGGCGCCTGTCTCGGGGCTGCGGCCTGTCTGTAGTGTACATCCGTCCCCATTGCGTCCGTAGTTCACCGTCAAAAAACGTCATATCTCACACCATATATATCTTTGAGAGTTACTCGTCACGTCACTCGCCAAGTATGGTCTTATGTAAAATATACCTCACTATGAGTACTACATACGCTTTATGGTGCCAAGCGAATAACAGGAATGTCGAAGAAATTTTCGATTCTATAAAAGTGCGCATGCCGTGCCCACACACGAAGGTAGCGGGCAAGTACATCTTGGCGTTCCTTTTGGCAGTGTACCCGCTCCAGCAGCAATCCCGCCCCGTGCAGTCACGCTACCGCGCCGCCCCGCGCCGCCCCGCGCCGCCCCGCACTGTTAAACACCGTGGCGGTCCCCGCGATGCGCGCTGGCCAGCGAGGCGGCACG